TAATGCCGAAATCTTTAAGTGAGCCGACACGTTTGGAACGATGTCTTTTTTGTCGTCGAAATCGGTTTATCCCTGGAGGGAAAAATCGATCTCGAAAATTCGATTCAGCGATCGTCCATCAAGGGACCAATCTTTAGATGACACACTCTTTCAAATAGATCCCGAAGGTCATCATATTCTTGGTGGAAGCGAATGGATTTGGGACGCTCCCATTTTTCTCGATCGCCAGCCATTTATGTATTGCATTCGAAATTTTGTCCCGCTTTGAATTTATAATTCCAACGAACATCATTTTTATTTCTTCGTGAGTAGAACTTTCCAAGAATGATGCTTCGAGGTCAGCGGGGCAGTAGTTTTCATCATCCACGACGACAAACCTCTGGGAGTCGATCTCAACATTTTCTCAACAAGTTTTCGACAATTTGCTCAGCAATTTTTATTTTCTGCGTATATTGGTGGGATTTTAATGTCTCAAGTTTTGGAGCCGATCTTATTGGCTTTCATCTTGCGGAGATAGGTTTTTCAAATTTTTATCTTTCTAGGTGCAGCCCCAACGGACATGTTGGGGTTGCCTCTAAGAACCTTTTCCACGTTTTTCGTCACAGGTTTGGCTTGCGGGTGGACAGACCAGGCGAAATTTTATATTTTGCATTTTTACGATCCGTATATCTGTATAGTGTACGATTAATTTTGACCGGTGCATCCCTTGAAGGATAAACAGGACAGGAGCCCTTTTCCGATCCGAGAAAATCACTTTTTCGCAATGGCAAACTAATTTCTCCACTTCCGTCATTTTTTTGAAAAGAGATAATCAAATTCTGTTGTCAGTTTCAGAAAGCTTTTTAAGGACCAAAATACTGACGAGAAACATGAAAAAATTTTTGCAGAAAACCCCAGCAAAGATCCCCGAGGGTTGCACCCAGACAACTAAAAATTTCAAAGCCCTATCTTCCGAAGACAAAGCCAACAAGATGGGCTACAAAACTTTAATTAAATTTTAGACATTAAAACATTTAAGACATTAAAACCGCACCAATAAACACACAGAAGATAAAAATTGTAGAGTTAAAACAAATTGTCGAAAACTTGTTGAGAAAATGTTGAAATCGAGTCCCAGAGGTTTGTCGTCGTGGATGATGAAAACTACTGCCCCGCTGACCTCGAAGCATCATTCTTGTAAAGTTCAACTCATGAAGAAATAAAAATGACGTTCGCTGAAAATATTAATTCAATGCCAAGCAAAATTTCGAATGAAATATGTAAAATGGCTGGCAATCGACAAAAACAGGACTGTTCCAAATCCATTCGCTTCCACCAAAAATTTGAAGTTTGGACTTTATTCTAAAGAGTGTGTCACGAAAAGATTGATCGCCCCTATCAGAAAAAAACATGTTTGATTTTTGCCTGACCTGGGTACGTGCTAGAATGCCAAAAAATTGGCAGGGTACCATCGAGGGAAAAAATCTAATTTCGTTGAGAAAAAAGAACGCTCCTAACTTCACTCACAATGGAGGTCTCCCAACGTATGCTCACAGATTTGGACGAAATTAGTGTCAATCGATCACAAATATAATTAGTATGAAATTTGCAAATGGAACTATCTGTTAATACGCAGGTTTGGCGGAGATATTTGCATAAAAAGAGGAGAAAACGCACCAAAAGGCCGGCATATTTTTCATTTTCCAAATTTCTTGCGCATTTTTTCTGGTTTGAATGCAAATATCTCCGCCAAACCTGCATATTGGCAGATGATTCCATTTGCAAATTTCATACTAATTATATTTGTGATCGATTGACACTAATTTCGTCCAAATCTGTGAGCATACGTAGGGAGACCTCCATTGTCAGTGTCATTGAAAGATTTTGGGCATTAATGGAGAAACAATATACTCAAGAAAACAAGACACCAACAAATTTCGAAAAATTTCTGCGGATTATGGAGATAGTCATCGTAGAAGTTGATGAAACGAGTGGCAAGCTCATGAGAGTCTGTGACAAAGTGTTCTCTCCACCAGTGGGGAAGGTGTACTTGGACCACTGGAGGTTAAAATTGTCGTTAGATGTGATTCATGCATTCATTTTCTACAGGTCAAAATATCCTGACACTTACAATATGCGGACAACTCTTACAATGACACATGTAGCGTTATTTCGTGCTCTTACGATTTTCGAGTTTGATGGCTTAAAATTTCCGTAATTTGGGTTGAGCTATAAGTTCTCACGATAGAATCGATTCGTGTGGAGAAAATTGTCTACTTATTCCGCATTTAGCAAACAGCGGGAAATTTGGTATATTACGCCTCGCCTTGTGTATTTTACAATGCGCTAGCATTAATTGATTTTCTCGGATCTTGGCCAGCTTAGTTTTGAATTGTTAATGCACAGAAATATTCCGATCGTATGCTTGCATTTTCGTCAATGCGAGAATTGTCGACTATGGACTAAAGTTGGTACATATAAATTTTTAGCCCACAATATCATTTTTACTATATAAATTTTGCAAATTCTAACCCAATCTCAAAAAGTTCAACACGTTTTCTCATAATTCGTTATCTTATGTTTCTTGAAGCTCTTAATGGTCGGAACTATGTCACTATTTCTGAATTTTGAAAAATACTAGAAAATCTGACATTTGTTTAAATTTAAAATATAACGATGAGTAGCATTTTTTAAATACTCAACGTATTACTGAGCAGAACACGTATCTTCCATACTACGAAAGAACAGAGTGTGCAAAAAGGCGCCTTTTTGGGCAAAAATTCATGGCCGTTTTGCCCGTTTCAATGCCTGATTGCCTTTTTGTGTGCTGTTTTGCTTTTTTCTATATGTTTGACTGGTTATTGCCTGGGCTATTTTACAAATTTTAATGGACGCGAAAGAATGTCATTAGCTTCACATTTCGGTTTTTCTAGAACATGTTAACCTGTAACTTCTTTAAATACTCCACAAGACCATTTACCTACGTTGTCATGATTACTACGAGTATTTATGAATCACCTCAAGATGTACATAATTTTTTTAATGATCTCGACAATAATCCAGCTCAGCCTAATAAACATAACTTAATTATTCACATGTCGACAAATCCTGTGAACTCTGAATGATTGCAAATAATATAAACAAGGCCCCAAAAAAGGGAAATCTTAGTGAGGCTTGGTGCGACTACAACTAATAAATAAAATTAGATTGCAGAATTTTTGCATCGCCGCTCTCTGTACCATTCTTTACTGGAAGCATTAAGTAATCATTTGGAATAAATGGCTCCCCTCAAACATTCTTGTAATTTCATGAGAATAAGAATTAATAGGATATCCAGAAAATATTAAAATTAAATATTTGTAACTTTAGTTGCATATTTGCAAAAATTCGTAGTTCACAATTGTTTACCCATTATATTTGTTCCCAGTTAATTTACCAAACTTCTCGTTCACTAGTAAAAACGTCTTCTTAAAAGTCCAATTAATTCAATAAATGTAAAAATGCATGTGTATGCAAAACAAAATTTATATTGGATCCAGTAAGAATGGTCCAGAGAGCGGTGATGCAAAAATTCTGCAATCTAATTTTATTTATTAGTTGTAGTCGCACCAAGCCTCACTAAGATTTCCCTTTTCTGGGGCCTTGTTTATTTAATACTTGTAATTGAGTTCTTTATATATTTAACAATAAGCACCACACATTCCTTAAAGCTAGAGTTGATTAGAAGATTTATTGTCAACAACATTAATGCTTTGCGTCGCTGCAAAAATTTGAAGGTTTTCTAAATTTAATAATCTCCCGAGTTCTTAACCGATTTTGATCATCCAGATTATAAATTCACCAAATCAGTTTGAATGTCATATCTAAATTTCATAAGAATAATCGGTGCAAAATGTCATCAAAATCGGTTGAGAAATGACGGAGATATCGTCAGTGGTCACTTTTTTGGGGAGGGTCAAATGCATACTTAGTAATTTTTTGTTGCTAGGTATTTGCCTCACGAAGAAAAAACATGCGATCGTATGATCAGATTGCCCCGATTTTACCAAAGAGGCAAACGACATTTCGGGCAATCGGGCATGGTCAAAATTCACCAGCCTAATAGGCAAAAAGGCATTTTAGGCACGGCATGCCCTTTTGCCCTTGCACACTCTACGAAAGACTGACTAACATGTCCATTTGCTTCAAAGTGATTAATACCGATCGTAACTCCGTTAATGTTTTTGAGTGAGACTCAAATATTACTTATTAATGTGGTTAAGGGCCGGGGCCATAGCTGAGTGGTTAGAGCGTCCATCTCTTTCCGCAGAGGTCCTCGGTTCGAAATTGGGTGGTAGTTGGAATTTTTGGTAAATCAACATCAGCGTGCTGGGATAGTTGTCTACTTGGGGATAGTCAGTGACTGAAAAAGGCAGAAGCTGACTCCTATCTGGGCTAAAGACTCCGGTACGGTACATGCTGATGAGTGATACGTGTTTTCTCCAACCCAGTGATTTGCATTAACGCTACTGATATGATAAGTAGTATTATGCAATTGTAGCTGTCCAAATGGAACCTATCCCAACCTACCTAGTTAAAATCTACCTGTCCTACCTACCCTGCATGTATGCAAGAGCCATGAGCTAATACGCGTACGTTAAACCCCTCCTTTTTTTATTAATGTGGTTAATAAAGCTGTGTTGGTCATAAAAATAAAGAACCAAATATTAGCTTTATAACATCTATTGATAATTTTAAGATGTAATATGTTGACGTCATCATAGGGGGTGGGTGGGTGCTTTTGAGAAGTGATGACGAATGATGATTTTGAGGTGGGTGGGTGGTTTTTTCAGGATTTTTTGATGACGTAATATATGGACGATCCCTAACTGAGATTTTTGTTGAAATTGATTATATTAATCAACGTTCACAAAATAAATTCAAACCTTTATTACAGGATTGTACTACTTGAGACAAAGTATCAATAAGATTTACATATTTTCAAAAATATTTGAACAAAACGTGTTTCTTGGTGATTTGCATTAACAATTGATTACGTTGGGGTTGGGAATCACTCCTCCAGAAAAGTGAATGGGAGCCCCACTGCTTTCGAATATGGGTTGTATTCTTTTCCGCATTTCCGGTACCTGAATTTATTATGAGGGAGACTTACATAAGTGGCAATAATAACATATGCAAATGATATATTATTCCGACGAACCTCATTGCCATATATTTCCACGCTTTTAAACGCTTTGCTGTGAAGGATTAAATCTTGAAGGTGGCAAAAAAAGTCTTGCTCTGGGATTCTAGTGATCCTAAATTTGATATGTTTAACGCCTGAAATATTTGTTCAGTTTATTCAATAAGTAAATATTTATAAACATTTTTTCATAATAATTAATCTCAATGATGTATGCGTTTGTTACCGGCGAAGGTACTTTGTAATTCTATACTTCTTCGGTAATAATTTATAATCGAAATGTAACATATCTTTCACAGCCTCCAATGTCGCCCTTCTGGTAATAAAAATTTTACCGACACCGGAGGCAATTTCTTACCCTTAGAAGACAGCTATTGTGTCACCACGGGGTAGAATTGCATGGTACCTCCGCCGGTAACAATCGTACCAAAAAATTATTTACTGCAGTTATAATTACTACCGACATTTTATGAACTTAACCCTAGTACTCAGGACGGATTTTTCAAGCCAAGCGACATATCTTTTGCCTTAAATTTAATAAATTACACATTCACTGGATTTACTTTAATTTCACGACGAATCGGAATGTTTCTTGAAATCAATTACAAAATATTGCTTAATTTATTTGTTCTTGTGTTCGCTAAATTTTTTCACTTGAAGAACACGTCCTGCATACTAGGTTTTACGACATTCTAAATAGATTACCTTTCCAACAAGACAAGCTTTTGAGGACTGAAATTAGAATTGACGCCTCCCGCATACCATACAAGCGAACTTTAACCTGTTCGAGATCCCACGTTTGAAACGGGTCTAACATTCGGTAAGTGTCATTGGTTATCCGATTGGGGCCACCACACCCCACTAGATAAAAGTTCTTTACGGCAGGATACATTTTAACAATCTTCCCCGTGAAATCGCCCTCTATTCGTGTCTGATCTAATGTTAGGCTGAGAGTTTGAACTCTTCGGTGTCGTTTCCACAAAATTTGAAGAGTTGACGACTCGAAATGGATTAAGTTTAGTGTCAGCTTTTCAAGTTTAGGAAGATGGTATTCGTCAAAGAAATTATGAATTTGGTAGGCACGTACTGCCCAGATGGTGAGAGTGGTAAGTTTTGACATAACGGGGACGTCCTGACACTGTAATGTGTGCACATTATTAAGTATATCTATGTGTACATATGTATGTCCTTACTATAAAAATATACGGGTTAAAATATCTACATAGATTAAAATATGTACATTACATGCTACAATTCCCATGCACACATAAAACTACTGGCATGTAATCTCGAACTGCCAAAATCTCAGTGATTTCACTACACACTAGTATCGAAAATATTTTAAATTTTCCATAAAAATTTCGTACTTAAATATTTAGATTAACACTTGTTATATATTTGTGTTCTTGCTCATTTATTTGGCACCATTGTGAAATAATATAGGTTTTAAATTTTATAATGGATAACGTTTTGGCACAACTATGTAGCTTAGCAATTCCAGAATTTAAAAAAGTTTCCATTGGGAGTTATATTTGATATGAAATTAATTAATATTTAGATATCGTCACATTTCAATATTGGTGAAATTTTCACTATCTCCATATGCCGGATTCGAGAAACTGGTTCGAGATTACATGCTCTAATATCACCTTCATAAATCAGTTAAGATCTTAAATACCTTTGGCGTGTATTCCCAATTTCCGGCACCTTCATGTTGCAACGTCAACTCGATTAAGGAATCCTTCACCTTTGCCAATATCTCCGTTACAGTGAGCAAGTCCAAATCAGGACAAGCGTCATGGAAGAATTTGTCATAATTAAATTTAAGAAGTTTTAGGTTTATGCACCCCGTCAAATCAGGGTAGAAACGGAGTTTGAGCGAGGACAAATTCGGTGCAGAATCAATCAGTGTTTGGAGAAGGGTGTGAAGTTTGAGGGATATTTCTACGGTGGTGGGGGCAACCGGGGAGAACTTGAGTGAGGTAAAATTCCCTAGAATCGGGAGTTTTCCACACGGCTGATCAGGATATAAATCGAGACCCATGGATTTGAAGTTTTTGATGCAGATGTGTTCGATTTGAGAGGACTTCAGCATCCTCATCCCTTCCATGATGGCTATACCTGTTCAAAAAGTATTTATTCAGTACATAAAAACTTCAACTAAAAAACTTTAAGCAATTGTTCATTCGTCATTCATTTATTCGAAGTCTGAAAATAAATACGTGTTGAAAAACCTTTATTCAGTACAAATTTAAATTATTACAGTTATCCATTCGTCATTCATTTACTCAAAGTTTGAAAATAAATATCCATTCCTTATACATACACGATTCATTTTTTATCAATTTAACCCATGTGGTCTGAAAAACAAATAATGTATAAAATTATTCTTCATGATGAATACTTCGTGAATCCCAAATGAACAAAAAATTCAAGCCAATAATTTATTTAATAACGAATGAATAATTTATATGTCGAATGCGTTTTTTACCGAATAAATGAATGTGAACAGGTATGGTTATAACGTTACCAGTCTTTTCTGTGGGAACGGACCGATCGAATTCCCCTCCGATGAAGATGCGCCGAATGAGTTGATCGTGCACGGGAGACACCTGCACTAATTTTGACCCGTCATATCGGAAAAGCTTGTTGAAATTGTAAAGGCACCGTTTTCCTAACGAAGTAGCGCCAATCTCGCCCCACTCGAAGCAAACGAGACGTGACGTCTTCAAGTCGGGGGACGTTGAGATGGGCGAATATGACGTCGAGGATCTGATTAAGAGTTAATCGATTAGGATAAATTTAATAATTCATTGGGGACTAATTAACTAGTTGTTAGTGAGCAAATTATTTACCAATGGATTCATCAAAGCTTTGGACATGGGGTTGAAGGCGACGTTGTCGGAAACTTCTGTAAATTTAATGTCAAATTAAACATGACAATTTTTCCGGTAAATTTTTAAAATATTTGCACGAAATGGCACAAGGTTTGCAATTAGGTACAGACAGGGTGGTTTAAATGTCACACTACAAGGGAAAATTTTGCATAAGGAAAAGTCCCAAAATCTCTATTAGTTCCAAGATTTGGGGTTACATATTTTTAATAATTAATATATGTAAAAACTAATGAAACACTGATGGTAAAATTCTTAAATGTTGAGTTTCACAGACAAAATTTCGGTAACTAATGGAAATTTATGAATTTTTCTCATCGAAAAATTTTCGATTGTAGAGTGACATTTAAACCACCCTGAGTGCATGTCGGCTAGACTCGATTTCAGCAGGATATAAATATTTTAATTTGCTCAGGAATTAAGTGAAGCTACCTAATTTGCTACAAACTTTTGGGCTTTCAGGCTGTACCAAGGTTCGGAAAACCCCAGGGTTTTTGTAGAAAAACCCAACCCCGGGGGCTTTTCCGGGGTTTTTGGGGTTTTTGTGGGTTTTTGGGTTTTTGTGGATTTTTGTGGATTTTTGTAGATTTTGGGGCAGGTTGAACCAGAATTTCTAAAATTAAACATATGAGAAAAACTAACTTAATATACGAATTCAGCATGCAATTTTAACCGTTCTCATTGACTTGGACTTTTACATCGGAAAGTACTTTAACATGTAAATCTGAAAATATGCAATGATATTTGGAAATTCATGTCGCACATGAAAATTCTTAAAATTTCATGATGAATCCGAAAATGTAATTAGCATTGATCCAAGTTGTAGTTTAAGGGATTTTGTTTCAATCTGCTTCAAAAACCTACAAAAACCCCGGAAAAACCCCATTAAGCATTAGGGTTTTTCCGGAGATTTGATACCCAAAAAACCAACAAAAACCCCATAAACCCCAACCCACAAAAACCTTGAGCTGTACCGGCTTCTTAAATTTTTGCTCTTGAACAAATTAATACTCAATGAGGTCGATGCATTTAACCTAATCGATTTAGCAGGCTTATTCATAATTACCAGAAATTTTAATATACTACATACCTAAATTTGAATAGTCCATTCCCCCCTCAAGGTGAAGATGACAACTCAAATTGCTGCACTTTACATTTAATGTTTTGTTATATAACAAGTAAATATGTAAACCTGTACAAAATAAGCATTACGAATATTTTGCGTAAAAGTTTTTTCATCGGAAGGTAGGTCCTTATTATGCAGAGTTTGGCGACATAATGAAAAGCACATTCTCAAGGGAAATAAATATGCAAGGGTTGAATGAAAATCCTCGCTTTTAAAAATAAAAATAAATTTACTACATGGTAAAGGGTGTAAATTGCTGTTCTATTAAGTGAACCATACAAAATCGGAAATACAGAGTAAATTATCCTCTTGCATTATTTTTATAAGTGTTGTAAGGTGAATGGGTAAGATAATTTAGTCAGTGGAGGCAAATATCTCGGTTTAGTGGTCGAGTATTAAAGAGAAAAGCCATTAACTTACACATGCATCCTCTGAGAAATTTGGGATAATTTTACAAGGGTCAATAAGCTCGAGTATACATATAGGGTGGTTTAAATGTCAGGTTACAATGGAAAATTTTTCAATGGGAAAAATTCGTAAATTTCCATTAGTTACCGAAATTTGGCCTCTGAAATTAAATATTTTAAGAATTTTGTCATCAGTGTTCCACAAGTTTTGATAAAAATTAATAAAAATCTCAATCCCAAAGCCGTAACTAATGGAAATTTACGATTTTTTCCTATTGAAAAATTTTCCATTGTAACCTGACATTTAAGCCACCCTGTATATACATAAAGGATTTAACCGTTGAGGCTTAAACCTTTTGCATGGATACATACAAAGATAGGCTGAAAAGTACCCCTAACGAATGTATTCCATTTACACTTGAGACACTAAGGACATATGTACGATGTGGAAATGAGATGAACATGAATTTTTGACACAATATTTTGTTTCTGATTTATGTATGTAAGTGTGCATATTTATTTATTTTCTAAGATTTATTTAAAACATCAATATTTCGTCACAAAAATATTTTCCATTACAAATCTAGTTAGGTTTTTCTAACTAAATTTCTCATTCTAGCTTCAACCTATGGATTCACAATTGTTCCTGTAAACAAAGAAGTGGAAAATAAATTAACTACTTAGGACAGAAAAATTTCCAACACACTTATTTAGCAATATTGTCACCCTTCTAGAAAGTAAATGCACCCTCAACTCTAAAGTAAAGAGTTCGAGTAAAAAATGAGCATCTAAACTTTACCCATTGCCAGGTTAACTTTACTCTGCATTTAGTAAAGGTTCCTTAATTTAGAATTCAGAATGCATCTACGCTTCAAAATGGTAACAATATTTTAAGAATGCACTTACCCAAATCCATCAACAGTAGTAAAGCCTGTTCTCTGTCTACTCCCTGCATACATAGACAAAAAATTAAGAATTTCGAAAAAATTGCAATTTTTGGCATTATTTAACTCTACAAAAATGCATTTACCAAGAATCCAAACAACATATTCATGTATGACCGGGCCCCTTCCGTCAGTAAGATTTCCCGTCCTCCCGCTTTGTCCGGAGAATCGAACTCTTCCTTGAAAATTAGCCCGCGTCCCGCCCACACCCCTTCGTCCCAAAAGTTTCCATTATGCGAAAAGTTTTCAGCCCAGAGGCGACACGAGTCGAAACGGAGCGAGGTCACGACATCGGTCACGATCGGGCGCCCACCCGCCATTCCCTCGCTCACGGTCAAGTTCAACCACAACTCGACATTTGTGAAGGAGTGGGCATACGCGCCGGAACCGCGGTAGCGAGCGTAAATTCCCCAAAAGCCAGATTGGTCGATCCATAAGTCGTAGGTACCTAAATGAAATAATTGGAATTTCAAATTAGTTACATATCTACGAATTACGTAATTAATTAGTAAAAATTAATTTGACAATAAACGTTTGATAAAATCTGTGTTTTTCTAAGGCGAGACCCAAACGTAACCATGCACCCAAAAAAATACGTGCATGGTTACGGCGAAGCCATAGTATGCAGTTAAGTGGACACCTCAAAACAGTCAAACAAGATTGTGAGAGAACCATACGTCGTAGAGACATGCGGTTTCGACCAATGGGTAGTAAATTCTTTGTAGTATTGCGCATAGATCTTTGGGCTTAATCGGTTCATACCTTCATGGTGTATTTCTAATTGTAGTGACTTTTTTTTCTGTATCTCAAAATATTCCGCTGAAAGTGAAAAATCGGCAAAGGGGAATCGAAAGGGCTTAAAAAATTATTAAGATCATTCTTTAGGGTCATGAAAATCGCATGCAAAATGACGAACTTATGGAGGTTTGAAATTTTTAAAATTCAGTTACATCCATAGCAACTATAGTAAAGAAATTCTTTATATGTATGTGTAAATGATGGCCCGAGCCAGGGCTTATATAATCGTCAGGTCCGTCTGTCTGTAAATTTGTAATGGCTCGTAATGGAACAATATGAATTAAGGAAAATCGGAAACATATTCATCTGGAGGGACCCGAAAGGATTTATTTTAATCGTCGTATCAAACCGCAATTTGTTACATATGCTGCCAATTGCTAAAATGCTAAAATGCTAAAATGCTGTCGTTTTACATCGAAAGGACTCAGATATTCTCTGCTTTTCAGCCTTAAGTGGTGTTTATACTTCACGTCATCGTCACGTCCTCCTTGAAATCCGATTTTTTGATTGGCTGAACGAAATTATCACTACGACAATTAAAAATTTTAACCAATCAAAAAATCGGATTTGGAGGAGGACGTGACGATGACGTAAAGCATAAATGCACCTTTAGATGTGGACTTCTTGCCTAATAATCTGTGGCAAGTCGTCTCATCCCAACAGAGAACGGAACTCTGCCGGGGGCTGACTCAATGGCATTGCCATTCCGTATGGCTGGGCTCACCCTGCCATGAGAGACAGCACCTACCCCGTACTAACACAGAGCCAAGTAGGATTAGCAATAGCTTCCCGGCTGGTGGAATCGAACATGTGACTGCGTGGTGACAATCCTACCCTCGAACCACCAAGCCAAAGGGCCTTGCTACTACTGTTCATTCAAGATTAATATGCAGTAAAAAGTCTGAAAGGTTATTTGGCGGATGATTGGTTTCCATTGATTGAGTTTGTTTATATTTTCCAAATTTCACCTAATATTCATTGAAAAAGTAGACAAAATGTACCTAATTAAATCGTTGTCAATGTCAACCAGCAACTTCGACCATTTGACCTTTTACAAAATTTTGAGGACTTTACTACATATTAATTTTGAACGAACAGTAATGCAAGAATGTTAATTTAAATTAGAACCATTAGTTTTTATTTACAAGATATTGATATGCATTTATGAAAAAATTTGGTGCAAAACTTCGGATTGGGTGATAATTGCAACCTTTTTTTGACTCGGGCTATATCAAGTCTGCACTGTGGGTTTTTAATGACGTAGTTAAAAAATTATTCACTTAAAAACGACAAAATAAATGAATTAAAAAAAATAAAACTAAGGCGAGAGGCGCTATTACAAACAAGAAACAAGCCCTCCCACCAACACCCCCGTCTCGCCGTGGCCCCATTAATATTTTTATATCTTGGGGGTGTAACCACAATTTATGATTCAAACCTTAAACTACCAATGTAAACTGCATTTAAAATTGATATATTGTACAATCTTATATTGCACTGCACTTTTAAAACCTATTACCTGTAGTTCTTACATTAATTTCAATTTAAACATGCCGTCTAGCATTAATCAACAGAGTTCGGATAAATATATTCTTAAAAACCCCGAAACATTTATGTAAAATGTTTAATAAAATCGACAAATATGTATAAAAACATTTTTTTAATTAAAGATTTTTGATTAAAGAAAATCTATATACCAGAACCAAGATCCTAAAGTTTCAAGTCAATCGGTATTGTTGTTGAAAAAGTTTGAAACATATACATAACCTGACTCTATTCATCAACCTTCGTACAAAAAATGAAATATTTACTTCTTAAAACCAACTTTTAATGTAGGCAATCATGTGACTAAATACATTCCAAATTTGCATTCAGAAATTTCAGAATTGAGCTAGCTGCTCTGGTAAACGAGTTAAATAAACAAGATTTCGTATTTTAATTTCCAACATTTGTGTGACAATTTTATGACACTTTCATGAAAATGACATGCACCCATTTTGGCATAGTATCACAGTATTGGTTTTTTTAATTGTATATAACGCAGGAAAGAATTTCAAAAAATAAAATTGTGGTTACACCCCCAAGATATAAAAATATTAATGGGGCCACGGCGAGACGGGGGTGTTGGTGGGAGGGCTTGTTTCTTGTTTGTAATAGCGCCTCTCGCCTTAGTTTTATTTTTTTAAATTCATTTATTAAATAGAGTAAATAATCGAGTACAACACAATGGGTGTAAATACTCACGAAAACGTCAAATTTCTATGGAAATTAATGCCATCAAGAAGATTTCGAGCTACTCACGAGACAAAAACGTTACAATTCTGTGATACACAGACCAACAAAAATTTCATAGTTTTTAGCAAGTTTTTTAAATATTGGCTGGAAAATTTCCACAAATTTCATGTGCTTAAACTACGGTTTGACGAGCTATTTGAGAATTGACGTGAGTACTTATAGCGTCATTAAAATTTCGCAACTTTTTACTACCTGTAAGAGACGCTTGTGGAATCACGAGATGAATGTTGGCCTCGTAAGTTTCATTATCCGCATGCACGGTGAGAATTGAGTCAGAAAATCCGAATAAAAGTGGATTACTAAAGGACAAAAGTGATTATGTAAATAATAAAATATTTGCATGCTAATAATTTAATCGACTATTTAATTTCTTACTATGTGTGCGACTCTCCGTCCTGAAACAGCCATTCGTGGCTGTAAGTAAAGTTGTCGAAAACCATGGGCTCCGGGATGGGGTTGGTCCTGGCCAACAAGTGGGCTTGAAGTAACTGGAAAAATACCTGGTTGACATACTCCGACCTTTTAAACAGCACTTTGACCAGCTCCGTATCTAAAAATCATAATAAATAATTTCACACCACATATTTTGCACTCTTAAAAATAATAGTACCATTTGAAAAGTAAATGCATTCTGAATTTTAAATTAGTATACTATATAAATCCGTAGAAAACTTTCCTTTTAATCGAGTTAAAGCTATGTTGGATTTTTGTATACTTTCCATAATTTAGGATTGAGACGGCATTTACTTTTCAAACGGGTAGCATTATTTTTAAGAGTGTAAAGATTTCGCACAAATGAATATATAATTAAACTATTGTACTCACCATTACTCTGCCCATGGATTTGGGAGGTGAGCATAGCCCCCACAATTACTACAAGTAGTCCCTTAATACCCGACATTTTGCGATTTATTAGTATTAAATTTGTGCAAAGTATTTTCGCTGGATGTATGTAAATAGAGTAAAGTTAAGATGTGTGCCTGACAATTATTACAAGCTTGTTTATATACAAATGGATCAAATGCGTAATACTCGCATGGTATTGATTGATTGATTGATTAGGTACTTTGCCCGTGTCGTACTTCGAGTTATTATCGGACCACAACTGATCAACTTTTGCCCTGTTATCGATACAAAATGGGGTGATTGAGTTGACAAAGTACTTAATGGAACCATGTTTACTCAAAGCTCAAGTGCCAGATTTCGTCAGCCATCCATTAACAAAGACTGCACCAAGCTGCTTTATGCTATGATTTTGTCCGTCCATGTATGTATCTGTCCAACCGTCCACGGGTGTGTCTGTCTGTTTCTTAAAAACGTCAAAGATAAAGAAATGCATAATTCTCGTGTATGGTGTCACTTTAAAGGAAATTTCGCCACGAACTCAATATTTGTGACCTAGGCGAAGGGGTGAAAGGTCATGCATCACATAATTTTCATTTGCTGTCATTTCGAATTTTACTGTAGAACGCTACTTTCTTATCTTCGTTGGACATGGTTTATTTACGGGGTACGGATGCTGTCATTGTGAAATGTTGCCCTTTCATTTTTTATGGTGTGTAAAATCTCGTATCGAGTTGTATTTCGTCATCATGCACGAGTTGGTTGATTACATATTTACTTCGCTGAAAGGTGTCCACACGATCAGTAATGTACAAATAGATTGCCCAACTTGCCTCTAAATGGGGCGGTGAGCGCCCCTTTCCAGCACATAGCACCTGAGCACGGTCGCCAACGATTTTCATATCGAGCATCGTGGGTTCGAACCCTGGTCGGGGTATATAATTTTTTGTTTACATTTTTGTTAACTTTTTAGACGATAATTGCACGTCAACACATCTAATTATACTACGATAAATGATCTGCACTTAAATATTGTGCCCGATGTGAATTGCGTAATCGAATTTCTTAATTATCAACAGTAGCTTAACCAACCGATTCAATAATGCAAGAAATGAAATTATAATCATACAATTCTTTTGATACTTTCATTCTGTCGTACTTATTAACATAAATTTTATTTGTGCGAGAACTAGTATTTGGTCTGGCATACTTTTAAATCAAACTCAAAGTCAGGAAGGTGTATGGAAATACACGTAAATACATATGTAATCAAGTTTCATATGCAAATTATTTTTTGCGAAAATTTATCCTCGAGCATTAATTACCTGTATTTTGACGTCAATGGTCACGAAAGTTTGCCAGATATCAGATTGCATGTATGTCTGTATACCTATATGTGTAAATTTAAAAGTAAATCTATCTTCAAATTCAATGGTTTCCATATTGGCCTCAAAGGTCACAAAACGATATACTGATTTTTTTATCAAATTTTTAACGCTGTACACGCATTATACCCGTCTTTTTAATCGCGACAGCCGAGACCATGTAAAGTCGGTGCACAATGATTGGTGTATGTATCACCTCCCTACATTCCAGACTGCACGTCAAACCGTAAAACGCATGGTTTCATAGGTTTCATATTTCTTTATCATAAACAACCAAAATTAGAGTACGCATTTTATGTCTTCTCCCCGTTCCTAGAGATAATTCTAATTTAGGCACAATAACTGTGCTCCCAGAATGAAATTTAAAACAGGAGAAAGTTGAAGCATGTATACGAATCCATAAATCGAACCACCCCACGTGCCAGGTACAAATATAAATCCATCCATTGATACATACATGGCTTCATGCAGTGTCATTCGTTCGTTGCAGTGTTTCCGGTGAAAGTAAGCACGTGCAAGAAATAATGGGGAGAAAGTGGTTTCTTCCAGGGGAATATTTTGACCTGCAAGAAATGCAGGGCGCTAGAAACTACGCCGCACCGCGATATTTGATACGGCGTGCGGCTAAACGGCACATATTTCTTGCACTTTCTCCCAGTTTCTTGCACCTCGCATTTCTTGCCTTTCTGCCTTTCGAGTGCAAGAAATGTAGCAAACCTGCAAGAAACGATCGAAACCCTGTTTTTCGTTGTCTCACATTTTTCGATTAAATAAATAGATCAAAATTCAATTGTTCCTCCAACTAGCTTAGCTTATCTTCCTCACATAAATAAATGATCCCTTCCCATTTTCCCAATGTCTCAATCTCACTTTCCCGACCAACCAACTCGGGGTACATACATACGCGTATGTATGTACCCCTCCAGCAAACTTTAACCTAAACGGGGTCAAATGTCACATGTGTAGAATATCTACAAATTTATCAGAGGTGTCTATTTTCAACGAGCAAAAAATTACAATTTCTTGCTTTTTAAGTATTTTTCTTCACAAGTTTTGAAATTTTCCTTTTCTTGCCAAAGTTAAGCAGAGGGGGTTTCGTGCTTCTTGCCAAAAAAATCAAAATTTCCAAACTCGTTGAAATAAGCATTCGTCTGTTATTGATAATCATGAAAATTGTAATTTTTCCCTATCAGGTTATTATGAAATAAACATCGTACCAATGAGAAATTCAAAATGAATTAAGCGTATATTGTTTAAGCGTTGGTAATTTATAATTTATTTTCATAATTATATACAAAAAGACTACGTAGTACAAAAAAGATTCAATTATTACATACTAAGTCACAAATATTGTGTTTTTATATATAATAAATTTATCCGATTTTGGCATAGGCAAATATGTATAACCGGAGTAAAATATATTTGTTTACAAATTTTAAAACGAACGTTTTAACTTAAGCAAGATACAAATTAGAAATATATATAAATAGAATTAGATAAGTATAATATGTAAATTAAAATTTCGCCTTTTTCTTATTATTTGATTGTTTAATTTGGTCGTTGTACTCTTTCATCCATAAATGCAATCGAGCTCTTAAAATTAATTGCAATATCTCAAAGCGATGGTCCTGGCACTTAAGTGATGTACCCCTTACCCAACTTGAAAAAGTGTTTTCTTTCATTATTTGATTATAAAGGTTTCGAATTACGTTTGTCGCTAACAAATTCATTGCTGTAAACACGGATTTTCCAATGACTTCGGCTAGTGTTTCAAAAACTATACGATGCTCATCAATAATCAAATGACCAAAGCTTAGATCTAAATTTTTTTCGAAAATTTCCGTCTCATATGCTTTATTAAAAGTTAAAAGTTCGCTCCCGGCAAATGATTTGTCTGGACGATCGGATAAAAATTGCAATAATTCAGTTCTACATTCTTGGCATTTTTTCTTCTTAATTATACTTTTAATAGCATATCCGGCGGTATATATCGCTGCACTCACAGACGCCGGAGTATTATCCAAGTCCTCAAGGGAAGCAAAATAAAAGTTGCAGCCGTATGACTCATCATCGGTATCACATTCAAAGCCATTGTCATTTTCATCGTCGTTATCATTGTCAATTTGGTCAAACAAGGTCAAGGTTTTTTGATTTGTTTTGGCAAGGAAGAAAGACAATTTTCGTTGGGTATCGAAAATTGAATCTTCAGAATCGAACTTTTCGCAGTTACTGCCGTCCGGAGTTACAATCAAGTTGGAAAGGAAAATAAATCTAAAGGCCCGCCTAAACATTGGACAATTTGCTTTATCCAATGACCCGAGTCGATATTTCAAGTGTCCAAATATATGCTCTATACCATCGGACTGCATGCTCCTGGTTTTGACAAATTTGTAGCCCGTTTCCTGCAGCTCACCGATGAGCATGTGCTGAGCTACTAAAGTTTGTCGCAAACCTTTGATGCACGGAAGTATAGGCAATTTCCGAACTTTTTTGCGCTTAGTCTTGGGCTCGTTACCGTCAAAATTTTCCTCCACGTCACTCTCATAGTCAAGGTCACGAATTACAACATTCGGAATAGCTTCCAAAGTAAGACCAGATAACCACATTTCCGCAGCTTTCCATTCATGCAAATTCTGAAAAACTTGACTATTCGACTTCCATTTTTTTAGTGGGCAGTGTGATTCAGAAATATTGCACATGTCAAAAATAGTGTCCATTCGTTCACAGAATTCTGCGGTCAATGAAAAATTTGTGCTTAGTTCACCTAAATCTATGCTTTGCGCATACCACTGGCTACTGATCGGCTAAATAATTGCGTGGCTAATTTAACCTTCATTTTACTTAAATTCGTTAGATTAAAATGAGCGTCACTTAATTTAGAACTACAGCGAAAAGTAGACATGCAGTCAATGTCGTAGAATTCTTTTATGTGCGCCATACTAACAACCCCTTCATGGCCTTCCATTCTAAAGTTGTATTTCGTTAATCCTGTACGGATATTTTTGATAGCATGTGGCACATCGTACATAAAATAAATTTTCTTATCCATGTACATAAAAAAAGGTTTTTCAATGGAAACGCCAAATTTTTTGAACATTCCTTGATTACATCCTCCCTGGTCTACGACTATCCCTCTAACATTCAATCCAATGGAAAACAGATCTTCAAAAAACTTGCATACTATATTATATAGCTGACTGGATGTAGAACTATGGCAACTATAATAATAGGCTAGTGGCATTCGCCAATCAGTATTAAGGCCACGAACCATAACCTCTAAGGCGTAGTCCGCAATATTCATGGTCCTATCAGACCCGCCAAAATCTTCGAAACCCTCGATCCTGTCACTAAATCGATTATATTGGAGGCCCTTGTGCAGTGCGGTTTCATCCAGTGTCAGGATACAATCTTTTTCAACCGGATGCATCCGCTCCACCTTGTCTTTCAAACAGTCGAGGATGTCTTGGCACCTACCGGGTTGGAAATCGAGCTTGCAGACCCATCGGCGTATGGTTGACAAAGACGGTAGCTTGGCCCCCCATTTCCTCCAGCACCTGAATGATTATTAAGCACATCGAGATTAAATTTGTATCTATATTATAAGCTGGAAATGTTTGTCTGCAACGGAAGTGAAAGTAAATGTTCCGCAACGGAAGTGAAAGTAGAGAAAGTTGAGTTTCGAATGGCGCGAAAATTCAAAATAAACTCAAAATTTAAAAATTAAAAGTCAGATTTTGGGGGTTGTCTGATGGTGGTTATCTGGGAGTGGTAGTCTGACGGTGGTTATCTGGGAGTGGTTGTCTGATGGTTATCTGGGAATGGTTGTCTGATGGTTATCTGGGAGTGTTTGTCTGATGGTTATCTG